TATTTTAAATTACATCTACCCGTAAAGTCTCTTGCCCGGTCTTTACAAAGGATGTTCGCACTTTTTTTAATGGCTTTGCTTTTGCTATAAAAAAAGTCTGCTTGAACACTTATTTTAATTGTGTCTATATTTTGAAAATACAAATTATCCTTTGCCACTTGATTAGTTTTGCTTTCATGCAAAAGGGCACTTTTAAAGAAGGAATGAATGGAAGGCTATGTTTGTGCACTGTTTGTATATAAAAATACATATTTTATTTATTTGGTATTTGGTCACAAAATATTTAAAAGAGCATATCTTTAGAATTTCCGACACATTCTCGCGCGCTGGAGATAAAAATGCTTTTTTTTTCTTTTTTTTTTTTCCTATACAGTGTTGTCATTGCTCGCTTTGAAATCGTTGAGTTTCTTAATCAAATACTCATAAATGCTTAACAAAATATAAAATACATAATAAAACAAATTCCAAATTTCTCTTCCAGATGGTTATATTGTGGTGGAGACGTACGTTATTCAAAATTTGTCGCTCTAGGAACCGTTATTTTATCTCAGTGCCAGAAATGTACATACATTAAGCAGATTCTTCATTATTTAATATTTTTAAATATAATACAGGGTGATAATATTTGCTGGCAACAATGTGAAAAGTGAAATGGACATTAAAAGTTTTCGACGCAAAATGCCAAAACGAAATTAATAGCCGTTTTCGCCTTTGGGCTAAAAATAAATCATTAGTTTGAACTAAACAAAAAAAAAAAAAAAAAAAAAGTCTAATGAAATAAAATTAATTGATTTTTATTGTTTGAAATTTAATATCAAAATGTGAATTAATAAATAAATTTTACAGAATTCGACAAAAGTAAATTTTAATCATCAATTTGTTAGACGCTTTAATCATTCTGTTCAAAATTCTTCAAATGATTTCTAGCAACGAAAGCTTTTATGATGGAGTACAATTAAAGAATATATAACTTTGAAGACGACCGTTTAGTTCTAATTATGACTCTAATTAATCTGCGGGATAACAAAACATTGTGAAACAGTATTGTCATATCTTCAGACCATAAAAACGAAAATGAACGTGTACTTCAAATGAGTACCTAGAGATGGCGCCACGGGTACGCACATCCAGTGCGAATCACGGTCCGTGCTCACTTGCGCAAACAAATTGTTTCACCAGAAATCTCGAAAACTTTGCTACAGAATCTGCCATTTAAGATTCATTTACTTGTAAAGTTCCTCATTCTAGCTTGATTATACTGAATACCCACATTTTACAAGAGTTGTTAAGTTTGTTGTGTAAAAATATTTAAATGTTAAAATAGTAGAAATTCAATTCAAGGCCATTTATTCTGTATCTAACTCTTTCTTTAACAGTTATTTAAATCTGTACTAACTTGTCCCTAATGTTTGGAACCTAATTTGTCTGAGATTTAAATTTATTTATTTTGCTAGAGCTTTATTTCGGTACGATCGCTTCTGCAATTTCCTTCAGAAGCTATTTCTTCAAAATTTTCTTCCGAAGTTATGTTTTATATTTTAAAGAATCATAAATTCAAATCGAAAGTTATAAAAATGAAATGCTTATTTGTAATGCTGTTTGAATATTTTTAATCCACATGCTGTGGAAATAAGATCCAAATCCAGTCCATCCGGGTCCGTCAAATTATTTACTTTAGCAAACAATAATATACAGTAACTTGAACATTCTGTATTTTGAAAAATAATTAAAATATTCGAGTAAAATTTACCTAAATTTAAATGTGGCAGATATCTGTGTCTGATATATGACAATCTAAATATGCTTGCTGAGAAGAAATATAAACCCATTCACTCAAAATATCAATGTAATTTAACTTTATTATGTTAAACTTTCACAAATTAAGTTTTCAGTTTCCGTCTATGCAAAAACATGTTTCTGGACCACAACAGAGGCTTCGAATTAATGGTTTTTGACTTTGGTCGCGGATGAATTAATTATGGTTAATAAAAGGCGGTATAATTATGGGTAAAACACTTCTGCTGTCAAACAACAGACAGAAGAGAGAGTTTCTGCTGCCGTTGCCAAGGAAGCTGACAGGTTGAAGACATCATTAATGACAGCTGGTCACATTTCTAACACCTTTAAATTCGAAAATATGTAGACTCGACTCTCTGTAAAGCCCACATATGATGAAACGGTCCCCCTGGTAGTTGCACAAGGCGCAGTTCTCGATATTTCCAAACGCAAATGGATGGGATGTCGAAAACAAACATTACTACCTCGCCGATTCTGTGAGAGCAGATGTAGCAGATAGCTAGAAAATATGTAGACTCGACATTCTGTAAAGCTACCCACATATGATGAAAACACCCCCTGGTAGTTGTGCAAGGCGCAGTTCTCGCTAGTGCCAAACGCAAATGGATGGGATTCCGAAGCCAAACATTACCACCTCGCCGCTTCTGTGAAAGCAGATGTAGCAGATATCCTTTAAACTCTGTCCAAAAACCAGAGGCTATGCTTCGAAGATCTATCTGGAACACTTGATCTGCGCTTTGGCAAGGAGTGTTTAAAAGGCTATAGCAGGCTTTAGTTAAAATCTCGCCAACAGGCGCCTATGGGAACACTCCAGGAACTTGCCATGGTTGTTGAAAGGCTATCTCACTTTCCTTTTACGGAATGCACATCAGAAATCCTGTGCCCGAAGTACTTCATTGATGGTATCCGGTATTCTGAGATACAGAAAGCCCTAAGAATAGCGTACGTCAAGGGTCTAAAAAGAGCTTTAGTACTAAAATCGCCTACACTGAAAAAGAACGCGAAGAAAGTCGAGGAAGCCCAGCAAGCAACCCGTAGAGCCCTCCACTCAATTCAAATTTCTATTGTTTATTAATTTTTTAAATAGCCGCTTTTTTTTTGAAATCTGACATTTTAGTAATTCTATAAATCCTACATACATTTAAACAAAATATTATTCTTTTTATTACATTGATGATTTTTTATTATGTTGGAGAGGCCCGCCTGCGAGAACTCGTGGAAGATCACTATGCAATCACTCGAGAGCTTGCTAAGGAGTTAGACGTTAGTACTATGTCCATTATTCGCGCTATGCATCTCATTAACTTAACGTATAAGTTCAATTGCTCAGTGCCGCATGAGCTAACTCAAGCAGATAAGGACAGACATGTTCGGTGCCTGTAATAATCTGCTCGAATATCAACGTAAGGACAAAATCCTCGACCAAATCGTTACTTATGATGAAAAGTGGATTTATTTCAACAACACAGGCCAAAAAGCGGTTTGGTTTGCGCCCGGTGAATCCGTCGGCAGCGTCGCAAAGAACAATTTGACTAACAAAAGATCGCTCTTTATATCTTGTGGTATTGTCATGATATTATCCACAAAGAGTATCTGGAAAAAAGGTAAATCCCTGGACGGTAAGGTGTACAGCGAGATGCTAGTCTTTGTTCACCCTACTATCAAGGAAAAACGTCGAAGTGAGTTCCGGAGCAAGAGATAATGTTCCATCAAGATAATGACCACATATGTCTGCATTCACCGGCTGAACTCTGTACGGACTCGAGTGGGATCTTTCGTGACGCCCCCCATAGAGCTCGACATCTCTCCTTCGGTCTTCTATATTTTTTCAAACCTGCTGGTGCTATCTTCTGCTGGTGCATCTTGCGGGTGCTATCTTCCATTTTGCGCAGGACGTCCAAAATGAGGTTGATCTGTTATTGGACTCGCGGCCACCAAATTTCTGGGCCGAAGGCTTTGACAATTTACCACGCCGTTGGCAGAAAATCATAGATTTGGGTGGTGATTACTATCCTCACTAATGATACTGTTTTCATGTTTTTTCCCCTTACTTTATTAAGAATGTTTTTTGGCGGAAAACTTTCGTTATAACCAGATATATATGTGGCAATACTTTCTTGAAAAAGACATCTAAGGAAATACTTGAAAGGACAGCAGGTTTAATTACATTTAAAGTATTTATATTTTTAACAATTAATTTAGTTATAAACTGAATTAACTTCATCAATACATTTTTATTTACGTCTTTATCGTCGTCATTCTTTTACTGCATCTTGAGTCCAGCTCGTCTAATTGCCAACTCACAAAACGAAAAATAAAACATTAAAAGAATTATACGATGAGCAATTTGTACGCCATCTGGTATTCAACAATGGCACTATATATGGTTTGCACTGCCTAAATATATATGACTTGCACTACCTTGTCATATATTGCTTACATTGCCTTGTCATGTATGGGTTGAACTGCCTAAACGTTCGAAATTTTACATTTTGTTGTGCTTTGTAAGAGTGCACATGTCTGTAGAATTATTTCTCAATAATACGACGGAAAGTACATAAATAATTTATTGCAGATTCCAGTACTGTTATTGAGAATAATAATTTATTACAATTTTTTCGACACGTAATAAAACAGCTTATTTATTATTACATAAATTATTTTTATAACATTTTGTAAAACTAAGAATAAAGATTTATATGCAATTATTTTTCAATTTTCTGTACACTTTCATCACTTAAAAACATTTTTTTCTAAAGTAACTCGCTCAGCTTGCAGCGATATAGCTTACATTTAATTTTTATTAATGACTAAAACAGTTTATTTAAAAGGAGAAATTTTTCTTTTAAGATACTGAGATTTTAGAAAAGAACAATGGAGATAAATAAAATACAATTAAGATAAATAAAAATACATCGAGTTAATAACAGTATTACTGAATAATGGGACGGAAAATGGAAATAAATTAACATGTATTTAACATTCATTATACATACACAGATATGTACATGCATTACGCTTTAAATTAACAGCAATTTGTGAAATATTAACGTGATTTCTTTTCACTATTTACTTCGAGCTTTTCTTTCAACGTGAAACTTAGTTTACTGCATTTTAACACTTAACAAGTAACTAATTGTATTTCAGAAGTATATAACCTTACGAGTCTATTTATTTAGTTTAATATCTCAATTGGTAACAAATTTGCGAAAGGGAATTTTAATTTTTATTCATTATTTTAATCAAATGAACTTCAATATATGTGAAAATTCTAAGATTAATGGTGTATTTACAAACCAAACAAATAGCAGACATGTTGCATCTTCATTGATGTTTTGTAGCTGCGCCTCAGCAGATGTATTTACAATTTAGAAGTAATGAAACTTGTAATGTAGTTATTAAAGAATTTCGATACATTTATGTATAATAGCACTGTTAAATGTTTAAAATAAAATTCTAGAAGGCATCAGGAGCTAGGTGGCTCAACTCGGAAACTATAGTCAATTCTTCTTGATGTCAACCAACTGGATGAATTATCAAACTTCAGGATATCTGCGGAAAGATAAGAATATTAAAATACTGAAATACATATTTTAATGCTATTTGATGCAAGACTTTATGACAAGACTTAAAGACTTTTGCAAATAAAAATAAAATAATTTTTAGTACACCTAACGAAGATCATAGAAATCAATCTTAGATAAATAAGCTAAAATAAAAATTCTCCCTGCCGATAGCTATAGAGCTATCTAATAAATATGCGAATAAATAAATGATAGATTCTGAAGCGGAAAATTTGATTCTCCTGTTTAATACAAGGTGGTTAAAATTAAAACACCCTTACTCTGAGCTCTTTATACATCGAACTACTGAGTGGTCCTAGAATTGTTGAGCATACTATTTAAAACATTGGGAAACGGATTATGTGAAAAAAAATTTAGCTCCAGAAATACCGATAGGTGGCGCTGTACAACAGAACATATGCTGAAAAGACACAAAATACACTTTATAACACATTTTATTTGAACGTACCAAATAATTATATTACAAAGACCTTATCGATGCAAGGGAAGCCGCTTAATATGGTTTCCTTCTCCAAGATGTAAAATCTGCATGTTCAACTGCGGATCGTAATTAGTCGATTGAGATGCTTCTCACATGCAGAGTGATACTGTCCTTCAAATCTGCCAAAGTTACCAGACGTCGTCGATAAACAAGATTTTTTAAGTAACTCCACAGCCAAAAATCACATGGACTAAGATCTGGAGAACAAGATGGCCAGAGAGCGAAACTGCAGTTACAATGACAGTTTATGTTTCTTAACTTTTTTATGTTCTTTTTTTCATATCTGCAATAGAAATTAAAAAGGAATATTTCCATACCTCATGTCTGTTTTTTCTGTGTGATTATTTGTGGCTTTTCAGAATATTTTCCGTTGCACAGCGCCGCCTGGAACAAATTTTATTTTTTGGAACTATTTTTTTTTTCACGCAATCCGTAGTATGTTCAACAATTTCCACTCAGTAGTTCGATATATAGAGAGCTCAGAGTAGGGGTGTTTTAATTTTACCCACCTTGTGTATCAACACACTGAAGTGAATAAATACAAAAAATGAATTTATTTTATCATGAGCAAACATCTGTGTTTTGGATCTCAAAAATAAGATGTACAGCTGCGATTGTCTTAAGGAAGATCAAAGAGAGAGAAAATAATAATGTTACGAATTTTGTATTTAGATTATAAGTTTTATTTTTCTGTGTAATGTAGCACGAGACAAATTTTTAGGAGAAAGTAACAATACAGGGGCAAGGGCATTTAACATTGAGTAAATGGAGATCTCGATAATTTGGCAAGATATCGCCAAGCTGACAACGGTTTTGGCTACTTATTTTGTAGCCAAAAGTAGCTGAAAAAAATCGCCCAATATCGCCAAATTTGCCGACATTTGGGTCCGATCTCTATATTACAGTAATAAGTATTGAAATTGAATACATGTAATCGACCACTATGTTAGCTATAACCGTAATTCCACCCTCGTATTGTTTTTCAGTAATTTCGAGAAGCAGAAAGTACTAGAAATATCTCTCGGCCGGTTGAAAACTATTTAAGGCTGAAGAGCGAACATCCGCTCTGAGTTACTTAGTTTTTGTTATTGAGATTTGTTAGTATCGCGTTAATTGAGAGATATCTGACTTAGTCTTCTCGTTAAATGCGCTTTGAATTGGTTATGTTTAACGTCCTTAGTAGTTTGAAGCGTAACTTCTGATTGTACTGTGTGATACTGTTGACACGTTTACGAATATTTGCAGAAAATTTTAGAAATTTGAAATGATTATTTTGATAATATACATTTTCTTAACCTATTATCTATCGGACTTGTGCATTCAATGTACTAGGAACCTGTACGCACGCAATAATGTACTTTTTTTAGAAGCATGGTTGAGTTTCCTAAACAAATATGAGGCGAGCTGAAAGAAAAGTTTGGTGAAATTTCATGCGCGATATGCTGTGTTTCAAAACAATTTTTCGAATGATTCATATAGAAGACAATTTCATTAGAATTAGACAATTTCATTAGAGTAGAAGATAGTTTTTGGTACTTGTAAATTTGTAAAACATCTGAACTTCATTAAGTATGTCTGCATGTAGATAGATGTCATACAGCTTATATAAACAGTAAAAAATAATAATCTTTCTCGAGTTTAAAAGATTAGTTTGGATGCGCCTTAGATTAACTGCAAAATTCCTTTAGCATTCAGGAAATGTTATTTCAGGAATTATCTACCAAGATCTCTGAAAGCTTTACAAATGCACGCTATCATCATGACATCATTGCTGTTCTACTGCTTAAAATGTTATACCCTATCATATCTAGCGACGCGTGCGGCTAGGCGGGACATTTCCGAGAAACGGAATCGTGGAAATTTCAGAGTTGACAGTAGTTTATGGCGTGCTTGCACTTTGATGATTTGTTTACAAATTATTCATTGCCAAAAGTTCTCCAATTTTATAGTATTTCGTGCTGATCGTGTGAAAAGAAATGTTATTGTTATATAATAAAATTGCTTTTATTAAATTTAAGGTGAATAATTTTTAAAATCAGTTTGTGCACGCGCAACTTTACTTTTCTACTACCTACTTACTTTTTTACTTTACAACTTTTAAATTGAAATTGCATAATCAGCGACGTACTGTAAACAACATGAAAGTTGCGTAAAAAAGAAAAACATATCTTATGCAATAATGAGAATACACATTAAATTTATATGCTATTATTTTCGTGTTATTAATGAAATAATTTTTAGATTATAAATACATTAAGAACTATATTTTTAATATAAATGTTACATATTGAAGCATTGGAAATTTATGGATTTATTATTATGAATGCTGATATATATTTGTATATATATATTCATTAATATAAATCTTATTCATTACATTACTCCTAATAAACATACATTAAAAACTTCTAAAAAATCGCATGTCTCACATTTGGGGAAGGATCCGTACCCTGTACTATATAATTATATAGTAACTTAATGAAGGATTCGAGTACAGAGATGCGAAGCGTACATTGGGGATCAAGTTATATGTGCGTCGTTCCTGTGAAGCATTATTCCAGAAATCTTGTCAACATTTTGAAGCAAGTTGGTTTAGTTGGTGCTTGAAATTTGAGCAAGGCCACTGAAGGGCGATTTCAATACCATCCTTGATTAATAACTGCTGCTTTGGCTAATTTATCTGCATGATCATCACCAAAATGGCCACTATGCCGTTCGATCCATGAAATTTGAATTTTGTAGCTTGGAATTGAAGCAAGGAGAGAATTTATGTCGGAAATCCATGGAGAGGAAGATAAGGAGTTCTAAATCACTAAAATAGCTGCTGGAAGTCAGATAGTTTGGTAAATTCGTTGACAGTTTTGAGAACGGTAATTTCAATCCCTGTTTTATGCTGATATTTCAGCCTGGAAAGTACTATTCCTATTATAGAGATAACCTTTCCATTTGATCATATCTGAAGGGGCAGTTTGAAAACAGACTGCTGAGCAAACTTTTCCATCAATTTGTGGACCACCGGTAAATGTATTTGGAGATGAACTTCTTGAAATTTCGTCAGATATGAGGAATTTTATTTCGCTGAAGTAAAGCGCTGGACGATTGAGATTGGGATTATTTTTCTTTTCAAAGTTGGATGGCAGAAAAAGTTTGGCTGTTAAATTCTGCAGCTTAGTTCAGCTGATGGATTTTCATTTAGAAACATTTTGAAACACAGCATATCGCGCTTTCCATTTCTGCGCTGATTGATAGGCGAAGAGTACCAGCTAAAGTATCAATAACTATACTTGAAGTTGTGCGATACGCTCGAATGATGCAAGGAGTAAATGTCCTTTGAATTGAATTTAAACATTTAATCTTTCTCACAATCATTGGTTGTGCTCAAATTACGGTTTCATAATTTACCGTATACAAAAAATACTAATGTAGGATTCTCCACTGTGTAACTTTAAGTTACAGTTGGATGTGAAGAATCTTGAGAACTAGTAAGCCAATAATCGCTTGAGTTCGTGAGACAGTAAATTAACTTAAAAAGGGTTAAAAGACCCTTTATTATTCAAATAAGATTTAACAGAACTCCGTCTCGGAGTCGTACAATAAAGTCGACACTTGGGCTTCAACTTAGGACACTAAGAATTAAACTAAACTAATCTTAACTAGAAAGATATAGCCGAAGCTATCAAAATTCTAACAAAGTTGGCCCCTTAACGCTAATTGACTGCAAAGCTATCAAGGGCCTACAGTAGGGCCGAGCGTAATAATAGCTTAAGCGAGAGTAGCCTAAAAAGGCGGACGCATGCTAGCCAGAATATATGGTATCTCTCTCACTAAGACAGTAGAACTTTGCGGTTAAATACCGCTCTTCCTCATTAGCATTCTGACGTGATTCTAAAATAACGTTCTGGTCGGGAGTGGTAAGTTGAAATTAAGAAGCAATAGGAAAGGAAGTTTAACTCAAAATTTAACTGTTAAAAAAATTAACAGATTCCTTACACTACAATTTCACATATATACAAAATCCTTAACAATATTGTTCAAATTTCTTTCGGCTCATCTCTAACATTCTTCAGTTGGCTTTAGTTTATAAATGGGTTCTCTAGAAGATCTACATTTTAATATAAACAGTAATGTACTTTTATTGAAAAAAATAATTAAAAGAAGCGTAATCAGTGACTCAATCAGTCTTAGCAGCTCCAATATCATTATATTTTGTTAGGCTGAGTTTTTATTAAAGGTATAGTAGAAATACTTAATATTGTATACTGTATAGTAGAAATATTGTCTACATTATTTAAAATACCTGTAAGGATTATTTTAATTTTTAACAGCTAAATTTTAAGTTCCTTTCCTGTCAAATTCTCAACTTCAACTTACTACTTCCGGGCAGAACATAGTTTTGGAGAACAACTCTCTGAACATAGAGAACAACACTCTGAACACTTAGTGAGGAGGAGCGGTATTTAAACCGCGAAGTTCTACTTGCTGAGTTA